AACATTATCTTTAAAATTCAGTATTTTGAAATTTTGAAAGTTGTTTGTAAACTGTCAAGAATTATGGAGTATGAGCTAAAAATTTTTTCTATGTAAAGTAAATGTTTGTGGAAAAATGTAAAAATAAATAAATGAAAGAAAAATAAATAAATAAATAAATGAATTAGGGCACTGGAAAGAAAAGAATAAAAATCACATATATAGCTTATTAAAAGGATTATTCTTAATAAATGCTTGTAATTCCATGACAGAATTACCTACAAGAGATGTCCATGGCATGTACAGATTTAAATCAAGTGAAAATGTTATATCTAGTATTTCATTTAGAGTCAGGAGGAAGCTATAATTCATTTACTACACAGTTTCCTTTTCCCTATTTTTTCACGGTTGAGGTTTACTGCAGGTGATTTCTGTTATGTATGGTGACTGTTCTTAACTGCCTCCCGGAGTTCACTGTTTGCTTTCCTTATTGAAGGAACAAGTACTTTTGCCCATTATTCTTATATCTTATAAACTGTTACCTATTGAAGACCCTTGCCACCCTTTCTCCTCTCTCTTCCCTTGAATTTAGTGACTCTTTATCTCTGACACCTCGACTGTACGACCATACCCCACTCCCTCCTAGATGCCTTTCTGAACGTAGCTTCCACCATCCTTAGCTGAACATATGTGGCCTCCAAGATGTTAATGCACACCTGTACAAACTGAAGCTTTGTTGGACTTAATATAATTCAAATGGTGGAGATTATTTCCTTTTGATAAAAACAAACATAGGTGATAAACATGTATCTTTTCTATCTAAATTTGAATCAAAACGCTACCACTATAGAATGAAATTATTTTAAGAAATGCCAAATGTGCATTACGTACAGAGTTCCTTCTCATTCTTTTCAGTAGGAGTCTCTACCCCACATACAGACAGGGCCTCAGTTGTCTCTGGCTGCTCAAGGCGCCCAGTGCCTTTGGCTAAGCAATGAGCTTTCTCATGCAGGAGAACAGTGTGGAGTTTGAAGCCTGTCTGGTGGCCCAATGTGACGCCCTCATAGACGCCCTCAACAGAAGGAAAGCTCAGCTGCTGGCCCGCGTCAACAAGGAGCACGAGCACAAGCTGAAGGTGAGTTCTACGTGTGGGGACAGCAGAAAGCCAGTGAGCCAGGCTTCAGGGGCTCACCTTCTAACATGACCTTTATGATTGGACAGCTATACAGACTTGTCACCACACAGTGGATTAATTGATTACTAGTCTGGGGGCCTGGAGCAGGACTGGTCTCCTGGAAACATCTGGTATCCATCTATTGCCCCATTAGAGAAGGGCAACAGGATATGTGGAAGGAAGAGTAGACAGATAGAAAGACCAAGCAGAAGGGAGTCCAGCAGTAGGCCATCAGCCACACCAACTCAGCTTCACGGAGCTTTCCTATGAAAGTGAAGGTAATCAGAAAGGCTTCCAGCTTTCCTACAGAGGTACCTTCCATAGTCCCTGTCATGTGTAATTCACAAAGTGCTGAATGATGAGGGATTTTACTTAGATGGCTTTCTCTAGCTTGTCGGTTTCCAGGTCTCTCTCTCCTAATGTCTATGATCAAGTTGCTTGCTTTTCAATTTCTTCAATGGCCCCAGGCCTCTTCATGGCAACATAAGTGGTCATTCCTAAAATGTGGTAGGCAATGGGGCCAGTGTTAAAGATATTAATATTTTTACCAAAAGAGTTCTCTCAAGGTTTTGCCATGTGGGTATCAATCTTAGAGGTTTACTTGCAAACATCTGGAAAATGCTTCTATTCCCTAAGTGTTTTCATCTAAAACAGTCAAGTTAGGTCTGAATTTAAAAAAAATGTTTCTAGAGTCACTGTTTTTAATCAGAGTTAAAATCTGGGAGGCCGGCTGGTGGTGTGGTGGTTAAGGTAGCTGGATCCCACATGACCAACTGTGCAGTGCAAGTCCTAGACCTGGCAGCTTGAAAAACACACTGGGCATGTGTGCATGCATGTCCAAAATCCTCAAAGGAGGGTAGAGGAGAAGGGATTGTGGCATGGCCATCCCCCCTTCTCTCTCTCAGTATTTCTCTGTCCCACGCTCATGAAGAAAAAATTTAAAAAACACACTAAAACAATTAATAAAGTAATAGCTAATGTTTGGGGACACTTTCTTTGAGGCAATGCCATACAAATAGTGGTGGGATCAACTCAGTTATTCCTCACTACTCAATGTCATTATTACTGTTATCCCCATTCTAGAGGTGAGGAAACAATAGCACCATGATATGAACTAGTCATAGGACCCAGAGTTGAGCCCTGGAAAACTGGTCTCCGAGCCCAGAATCAAGTGCAGAATTCCATTGCCTCTGGCTGGTTGAAGTACAATGAGGAGAGAAGCATGTCCCCACGCTCACTCTTCCCACCAGTCAGCCAGTGCCTACTGCATACCTGCAAGGAGCTGAGCACTGGACAGGGGAGCAGGAGAAGGGAGGGACACAAAGATGACCAGTAGGAGTCCTGCCCTTACAGAGCTTGAAGTTCAGTGGAAGGGCTAAGCCATACCCACAAATGACTCCGGCACAGACAGACAGAGGGCCGATACCACAGAAGTCCTGAGGAGGACAAAAGTACCTGCCACCGAAGGAGTCTCAGAGCACCTCATGGAAGAGCTGACATCCGTGTAGCCCAGAGTGCGTGTTAATGGCCGCTTACATTCTTGCCTGCAGGACTTGGCAAAGCTACCAGGGAAGAAGACGATGCTTAGGACAGTGTGCACCATGGTCTTGCTCCATCCTCAGTCTTGGGGACCAATGGATGTTTTCTGTTCCCATCAGCCACTCCAACACAACAGAAAGATGGCCCTTCATTTTAGCACCCTTCAGAAAACCGAAACTTCCATTGCAGTAGCAGTCCTCAAAATGTCACTTGAATCACAAAGCACTGTAAAATAAAGGTTCATGTGTTTCTGTGAAATGAACTGAGCCACTGGGCTTTTCCCTGCTCAATAGTGAACAGATCCTTTAAGTACACAGCCTTAACATTTTAACTTTTCATGGAAATCTCTTTTAAAAACATTGCATACATTTCCTGGCAGCCCAAAACAGAAAATGGTGAATGGTTTTGGTCAGCCACGTGGTGACTATAGGCCAACCCCAGGTTTTCTGGATGGGCAGCAACCTGGATGGGAAAGAAAACCAAAGATCAAGAAAATATCATTTATTCACATAAAAGAATGGAGAGGGGCATGAACGCCCCCTGGCACCCTACTGCTCGGTGCTGCCTCTGCTCGGGACTGGGGGACAATCTTATGGACAGTGCCAAAGATGCAGATGGAGACTGCTCAGAAATGGCTTTAAGACATCCCCCAGACACCAATGTCCCATGACATGACTCTCTCTCTCTCCTCTGATTGTCCCCAGGGGGCAGCGTACTGATGTGTCCTGGGGCTCCTGAGCAGAGGCGACTGCCTGTCCCTGTTCCACCTGCCCAGGCTGGAGTCCCGTGCGCCAGGCCTCAAAGGACTCTAGCAGACAGAGACAGGCAGCTGGTTGTTCCCCACAGCAGCAAAGCTGTTCTGTCTTCTGTCTCCAGTGATTTGTTCCTCTGCAGTTTTCAGCTGATCGTATCTGTCACTGCTTCTATAAACAGCTACCAACACCATTTTGCCGCCATGACTACTGGCAGCGGGCTCTAGGTCTCCCTCCCTCCCTCTGCTTTTCTCCCCCTTCCTTTTCCCTTTCTTGTCATTCTGTTGCTGTGCAGACTTGTGAGAGAAGACTGGCCTTTTATAGACCCCACTTGCCAAGCACAGTACTTCTTTCTGTCTTTGTTGGCTAGCCCATCATTCACTGTCCTGCGGAGATAATCTTACGTTCTTCCGCTTCCCTTTGGCTGAGTCCTCTGGGGGCCTGCTTTTTGCTGACAAAGAGGGGAGTTGTGTGTGTATTTTTCTGGCAGCTTTCTCTCTCCTTGAGCAATCCAAAAGGCTAGGGATGCTGGAAAGCGAGTATGTATTTACACAGTCTTTAAAAATCTCCCTATGCCCCTCGCCGAAAGCACTGATTGTTTGAATGGATTTAATAGTTCTGGTTCTGAGGCAAGATGGAACTGAGTGGTGAAGAGCCTCGATTCTGTGTCACAGAGACCATAGAGATAGGACCTCTTTATGACTTGCGAGGTCTCTAACCTTGGGCAAGTCCGTAGCTCAGTGTCTTTCAGCTGTGTGTAAAATAAGGCAAGAAGTAGTACTCACCTCACAGGGCATCATAAAGCACTTAGCGTAATACTTGAAAAATACCAGCTATTATTGTTGTATCATTGACAGAGAATGACTGGAAATATGCTTTCATTCAACACACTGACGAAGTGTTTCCAGGAGTGTGTTTTCCATAATGCCACAGTTCATAGTATAAAATTAGCCCATACACTGGTGTTGTTATCTAGGAAATTCTTCAGAGGTCTGAGCTTATAATTGATCATTCTACGAAACTATTCACAAAGTTTGGTGAGCTATTTTTATGAGCTAAAAAGGCAAAAAGACTTTGAGATATATGCAGATGTGGTCATATTTTAGGAACACTGTTTGAAATGTAAATTATAGTTAACACTATTCTGTGGTTTGAAAAACTGCTGGAAGCCAAATATCTATTTTCAGGATGTGGTGAACTAAAGCAAATGTCAGAAAGCTACTGGAGGGAAGAAATGTTTTTGAACCTCCAAGAAATATTATTATCATTAATATTAATATTATTAACTCCTATTTGGAACTTCTTGGGCAATATTCGACAACTGGCAGAGTACACGGGAATGGCACATTTCTTGTCTTGTCTGTGTTGTGTCCACAGCCCTCCCAGGTTTTCCTTAGCTGAGTAAGGTCCTAAAATTCCTCACTACCTGTGCCCCACGGGGAATTTGTGACACTTAAATTAAAATGCATCATGAATGAAGTTTCTTTCAGGAACTTTACATGTTATTTTCTCTTAGTAAGCCAGAAGAATTATTGCTGTTTATGTAACATGCAGAATTTGAACTAATTCTGAAATCATTTTAAATGCATTCTCCCTCCAATATTTTAGAATGAATTCACACATTGAATAGTACAAGAGGATATATGTCTTCTTGGTTACCCTTCACTCAAAGATCCTATGGGAAAATACGTTATCGTTGTTCAAAATGATTCTGGAAAAAGAACGCCAAGGTTTAATTTCCATGTATGATGGGCAAGTTTAGCATACTACAAAATTACTCAGTGGGGATACTGAGGGATAATGATAAAGCTCATTGTATTTTAGAGTTTTTGTATTTACAGAGCGTTTCCATGTGCCAATTGAAGTTATCAGCAGAATGCTTGATTTTGAGTCCTACTACACTACTGGGTTAAGGATCGTCATTATTTTCCTCATTATCTTTGCTACTATTTACTGTGTACTGACTGTTAGGTTCCTAATACGCTTTTTAAATAATTACTTGTATGACCCTATCAGTAAGAGTACAAATTTACATAATGAATATCATTGGCTTATGACTGTTATGAATATTATTGATTCCCTTCATTCAGATGAGGGTTGAGGGAAGGAATAAAGGAAACCTGCCCATGTTCACAAATAATTTTAAGATAATTAGAAATGGGGCCATTCTGTGGCCTGGTGGTGAAGGGAACTGAATCCCACATGGCTGACCACACAGCTTGAGTCCCAGACCCAGAGGCCTGAAATACATAGCAGGTGTGTACGTGTGCCCAAAATCCCAAACAGAGGGAGAAATGGAGAAGGGATTGCAGTGTGACCATTCACCATGGTGGGTGCTTTCTGGCCTTCCCTCTCTGTCTCTCTATGGCAAGCACACATGCCCTCTGGCAAATTAAAAATAATATAATAATTAAATATGATTTGACTGGTTATAGCCATTACTGGAAAGAAAAAACAACAGATTCCAGTCTATCACCAGCTTAATCCAATAAAAGTAATAGAGACAAATCAGTGCATACAGTGAAAACATTTGGGGAAATTAGGCACACTGAAACGACTTGAAACTTTCAGCTGACCCAAGCAGAAATCTGTATGACCAATTTTAACCATTTAACCACTGGGCCCAGCAGTTGGCATAATACCTATGTCACTGGACTCTCATGTCGTTGA